CCCTGACAAGCTGCTCGTGGCTCCATGCCCTGACCCGCCCCGGCTATGCAGGGCTTGTCTCTGCCCCACTCCCTAGCTTACAACTGCTGCAGCCACCCACACTGCCCTGCGTTTGGGAAGGGGGGCACGTCCCGTCCCCCCAGCCCCAATCTGTGCATGGTTGATGCACATAGTGTTGGGCCACTCCCAGGCCAGCTGCAATGGGGTTCAGGGTGCAAAGCCCAGCCTACAGTGGCAACCACCTCTGCCGCACGCAGATGGGGGAGGGCACATGCCCCGCAGGCCCTCCACCAGGGTGCACACAGTGGCAGGAGCCCCCCCCACGCCCCTGGATGAGCCACCCAGGCTCGATCCTCCCATCACCCGTCTGGCCGGAGTCCCACTCACCTTACGGGCCTCTGCCGAACTCTGTCCTCACTGCAGGGGACTCAATCTGGCCCATGTCCCTTTCCTTCCCCCACTGACTGACCTGCTGAGCTGGGGGGCGGGGGGGCAGGGTGCACACATACGTCTATAAAACCAGCTTACAAACCAACATAACACAGAGCAGCCTCAGAGAATAGTAAGCTGGTGTTTTTATTACACATGACCGAGAAAATATTTAAAAGGAATACATGCCTTTTCGTCTGGTCAAAAGGTAATGTAGAAAAAATATATTTTTGCTATTTCTTTAGAAGAAAATGTATCATTTAATCACAGCATGTTGGGATTCATCTTTGCAAAGGTTCTGGCTCTTCACTGTCATGCTGTAGATCTGGGGTTGGCAACCCCTGGCATGCGTGCCCAGCGCAAGGCCATTTTACTTGGCACACATTGGGGCTGGGGCGGGAAGGCAGCAGCTGTTTGCAGCCGGCCCAGGTTCAGGCTCATTAGCCATGGAGCAGGGCTTCCATCCTCCCAGCGGGTCTTGCAGCAGGCTCCCGGCTGGCAGTAACTACCCAGAGCCAGGGCCGGCTGCAGCTGGGATGCTGCAAACAGCTGCTGCCTCCCTGCCCCAGCCCTGGCCCTGGGCTCCGGGAAGGCAGCAGGCGCTGGCACTGTGTCCGTTGGGGCTGGGGCCAGGCCAGGGAGGCAGCAGCTGTTTGCAGCATCCCAGCTGCAGCCGGCCCTGGCTCTGGGTAGTTACTGCCAGCCGGGAGCCTGCTGCAAGACCCGCTGGGAGGATGGAAGCCCTGCTCCATGGCTAATGAGCCTGAACCTGGGCCGGCTGCAAACAGCTGCTGCCTCCCTGCCCCAGCCCTGGCCCCAGCTGCCTCCCAGCCCCAGCCCTGGCCCTGGGCTCCGGGAAGGCAGCAAATACCGGGGATGCTTCCCGCTGTGTTGCCCTCGCTGCTGCTACTGCAGAGCAGCGTTGAAACCCAGTGTGGCAGGGCACAGAAAGCTGCCTGCCGCTCCGAGCTCCCCATTGCCCTGACCACACTTTCCCCGCAGGCAGGGGTAGCAGTGAGGGGCACAACCCTGCATGCTGCCCATGCTGCTCCCATGCACACAGGGGAAGTGTGAGGCAGCAGCAGAGGGCCCAGGGGAGGGCAGCAGGGCTGGGAGCACAGCGTGTGTGACCCGGAGCAGCGGCGCACAGAGAAGCTGCTTGATGCTGCAAGCACCATGCTGCTGGGTCACACTCCCCCTGTGTGCACACGGGCAGCACGCAGGGTTATGCCCCTTGCTGCTGCCCCCACCTGCAGGGGAAGTGGCCAGGGCAGTGGGGAGCTCTGAGCAGCAAGCAGCTTTCTGCGCCCCACTGCTGTGCCGGGTTCCAATGCTGCTCTGCAGAAGTGATGGTGAGGGCAGCACAGTGGGGAGCATCGCCAGTATCTGCTGTCTTTCCGGAGCCTGGGGCTAGGTCTGGGGCTGAGAAGCAGTAGCTCTTTGCAGTCGGCCCAGGTTCTGGATAGCTCTTGATGGCCACGGAGCCTGGGCTGGAGGGCAGGAGCACAGGCAGGGCTTGGGGGCAGGGGCTTTGGGTGAGGGGCACGGAACAGCAGGGCTGGGGGGCATGGTGCATGAGCAGGGCTGGGGGGAATGGGGCTTTGGGTGGAGGGCAAGGGGCACAAGCAGGGCATCCTGCCATGTACCCCCTGCCCTCGTTTTATTTTTCTGGCATGCCGGCACCCCAGCACCTTCCAAAGTAGGCACTGTGCTTTTTTTTTGGCACTCCAGCCAAAAAACGTTGCCTACCCCTGCTGTAGATCATAGGCTTATAGGAACATAAGAGTCTGATCTAACAATTTGCGATACAATGAAAGGTGCAGTTTTCTTTTATACAGTTCTGACAGAAGTTTCTGGTATCAAATCTACTGAGAAATTAAACTAAGTGTCAAGTTAGCACATAGCTTCAATACATGCAAGCAGACTGTTAAAATATAAGGATTGATATTCCTTCACAATTATTATTTTTTAAGTTCATTTAGGACATTAGTCTCTCAAAATGAGCCTTAGGGAATGACTACATTTCTTATATAATATAAAATACTGCAATCCCCAATTATAATGTTTCCTAAATTTATCAAAATGTTTACAAGAGAGAAAGTAAGTGCTCATTATTTAGTTATTTTTCTGCCCTTTTTTTTTTTTCCTACTGCTATTCTGGGAGAAAAATGTTCTTTTGTTTCCTCATGCAGATGTAGGCACACTGGAATGCCAGAAGTTACTCTGAAAAGCTACAGAGATAGCTTGATCTGGTATCCTGTCTGTAGCTATGACTAACACTTAAGCCTTCACGGAAAGGCAAAAAAATCTCTTATCCCAAATAAAATTAACCTTGTCAAATGAACAAGCGCTGGTTATTAAGAAGATGTACTTCCCTGATCTTCACCTTATGCTCTGAAACATGAGATTTGATTAGCCTTACCCTTATTTTAGCTCATCTAAGGTCATTGTTGATAGGGATGTACTTACTCAGTCCTTTTAAGAATCCTGCCATAGTACATCTTGAAGACTTATGCTTCTTTTTTTAGTTACATACCAAACTCCCTAATTTTGTGTGTTACAGTAATGCAATTACTACTGGTGATGACAACTCTGTTCCAATTCTGGCTGTACATTCAAAAGATCTTCCCTCATTCCCTACTTAAGCGATTTTGTGTACAAGAGTGCATTTATGTCAACCACAGTTACTCTAATATAGATAGAGCCTTTTCTGAGGGGCTGAAACCAAACAATATACATCAGCTCACTCCCCGTGCGGTTGAATATAGTCAGAAACAAGTCTTTGTATTGTCATTTATATGCTTATTCTGTATATAGTTGGAATAATTTCAGAACTTTGTCAAGCAGTGTTACACTTGATCTCCCTAAATTTGAGGGAACACAGCATGTCCATTACCAAGACAAATATGGACCATAAAAAAAAAAAAAACAAACCACAACAAACACCCCAACAACTTAGGGATAGTTAAAAATAAAAGCAAAACAATCCCAAACCAAACCCAAATCTTCCCTGCTGGATGAATTCCATTAGTCAGACAGACCAAATTTTACACATACAAGAAGTTATATACTTGCATACCATGCAGTCACTAGCTCTAGAAAGCACAAGATCAGGTCTTCAGAAATCATTAGCTAAGGGCTCACAATGGATACTGGGGTCTAAACCACACATTCATATTGCATTTGAAGCACAGCAGTCAGATGCAAACATCCACTTAAAGTTAACGGGAACTTTTTTCCACTAACTTCAGTTCCATCTGGATCAGGACACAAAAGAAAAAATACCACACCTCTGCCCTAAGTATTTGTTTCCCATATCAACTAATGTTTTCCTGAAACAGAAATGCTATTCAGAGTTTGTTTTTTTAGAGATTTTGCTTTAAACTACCAAGTAATAAATACTTCAAGTGAACCTTCACCACATCAAGGCATAATACAAGAGGCAAGGCTGCAGAATGAGAGAAACGTTTTTTCTTAATTCAAGATAACGTCAGGAAATCGGGACCACACATAGTACAAAATAAAACTAAATCATTTTAATTGCCCAGGGTGTAATAAAAGGTTTCTCAAACACAAGTATCCGGGCCAGAGTTCAGTGTCACTTAGAGACCGTCACTAAAATACTTACAATTTTTCTGACTGATTAAACCAAAACCCGACACTGTTTCACTACTTGCAATTCCATGGACTGAAGAGAGAAAACCAGTTATAAGTTTTCTGTCTGTTCAGAGACCTGCTTCACCAGCTATGCACAACTTCTTGCTGGGGTTATTTGACCCCAGCAATCTTTCCTGCCCAGAGCAGGGGGCTGTACCTGATGATCTCATGAAGTCCCTTCCAGCCCCAAACTTTGGTGAATCTGTGTAAAGCATGAAGTCACTGGCATCAGGCCCATTCCTGCATGGGTTCTACCCCCATCAATGCAGTTTACAGCCAACACTGCAATGAGACACCAGGAGAAAGCCACATACGGCAAGCAAGTCATGCATCATGGATCCGTTCAAAATGACACCCTCTATTAATGAGCAAGAAGCCAATTAACAAAAGCACCTGATCTCAATACATCCCCAACCATGTGAGAATAAAGACCTGGGAACGAACACATCAAGAAAAGGGTCCTGAACTTTAACTAAGAGCAGGCTTAGGCTAAGCCAGCCAAAGAGGGCTCAGGTCGGAGCCGCAGTACTGGGGGCCTGGACAGGACTCTCCAGCGGGCACCTACATTGCCATTCCAGCCGTTTCCAGCCCATCCAGAGAAGCCCCAGCGACCCGCCCGCTTCCATGTGCATTTCAGCCTCTCCCTCCGGGTAGAAGATGCCAGCAGCAGAAGCGGCGCCGGCCGACAGAGCGATCTGTTCCCCCCGAGGAAAAGGGAGGCTACCTTCACGGCTCTTTTTGGGAAGGAAGCGCCTGGTCCGCGGATTCCACGGCGCCCGCTCGCGGAGGGCCCGGCCCGGCCCGCCCGCAGCCCGCGGAGGGGGCGGGGGCGACAGGTGCTTTAAGCCGCCACGGGCGGCAGCACCGCGCCCCTTCCACGGCAGCTGAAGGGGGTAGGGGAGGGGAATACTCACCTCACACACGCGGCCAATGGCTGCCGCCGACCCCCTCCCCACGCGTTGTGTGCACCCCGGCCACAGGGAGGGAGGGGCGGCGCGCGGCTGGCGGACTGTTTATCCCCGGCTCTCGCGAGAGCGTGGCGCGGGCCGCTGATCGGCTGCGGGCAGTCCAAGGGGGCGGGGCTGCTCTCATGACGCACAGCAGCCGGTGTCACTGGCCCCGCCTCCTCGCGTCAGCCGGGTGCCCCTCGTACCTCCCCCGCACAGCTCAAACGTTGGGCTTCCCGTTTCCCTCTGCCCCCGTCTCGACCTGTCCTGCACACCTGCTCAGGGCTGGGTCGCCCGCTGCAGCCTGGGACTGCCTGGGCTAAACTGCGCCTGACAAGGGCTTGAATATGGGTGACTGGTGGCAGCAGCAGCCCTAGGGCCCGGGCAGAAGAGCGCTATTCTCGCTCTGCTGGCTCCCGGACAGCGACTTGGGATCCTGTCAGAGCTATCAGTCTCAGCACTGTTAGGTGTGCAAGCCTGGGCATGTCTACACGTACAGGCAGGTGTCTACACATGCACACCCATACTGCGCAGTAACTATGGCAATGTGCACCAACCAGTTGGAGCATAAATTTGACACCTGCATGATGCAGGTGTTACATTTATGCCCAATTAGGTACTGCACAGTAATGCATGTGTAGATGCCTTACTGCGCAGTTATACTGTGTGTGTGGTCTTACTTGGAACTGACTTTAGCCCCAAGTCAGACCACACACAGCATTAATGTGCAGTAAATTTAATGTGATCTAAATGCACATGCCTCCCAAGTCACATGCCCACCAAGTCGCAGGACCCACGCAGAGGCTTCAAATAGGACTCCGTAGCCTCAAGAAAAACCTCCTGCCCTTTTGTGGGCTTTCTGAGCTCTTTGCAGCAGAAGGACTGATCTTTTTTTATTATTGTCCATAGTTTAAAAAAACTGTGAAAACTAAGAGCCGGCATTTTCCCAAGGGTGCTTCAAGTCTTTCTGGGGGTGCCTTTAGTCTAACAAGGTTGAGGGCCATTGGAACAACACTATAGTGCCAGAGACATAACTAGACAAGGTTCTTTGGGTAGACGTGATATCTTTTATTAAATCAACTAAATAGTTGGAAAAATCATTTTCTGTAAGCTTTCAGGCACAAATCCCTGTCTTCCGGCATAGGGAGAGTCTGTTGGTGTTTGGGGAGGCTCTCCTGGGTAGAATAGAAGCCAATATGCAAAATGCAAATAGAATACTTCAGCCTTAGCAAAAGTCTATACAACATCCCCCTGGGGCAGATCTGTGACAGCAGTGCTTTCCCAACCTGGGGGAAAGATTTTTAGGTCTTCCCAGCTAATACAGAGAAAGAGGAGGGAGGGGAGACAGAAGAGCCTGGGACATACAAGGTGCTAAGTGTATCTATTGTGACTAGCTGTCCTTGGTAGTTAGGCAAGTTCCTCCTTGTGCCTCAGCTGCTCCTCTAATACCATTACACTGGGGGCACTAGGAGGGCCAGCCTAAAAACTGATGGGAACTGGCTGTGACAAGACAGAATGAATGCTCCCAGCATGACGTTACAATTCCTGACTCACCCCTGTTGCTGTTCTTGCAGCACAGCAGATGGAAAACACTGAAAAGTTGTTTTACCAGTGGAAAATTACCAATTATTGCGGTTTTTGTGGGGCCCTTTATTTAAAAACAAAAAAAATTGCTAATAGGCCTGTGTCAAGTATCCCTCTGACTATTAATATTAGTTAAATCCAAGCAATCCTTTTCCTGTTTTAGGCAAATGATACATTATTTGCTAATCCAAACATAGAATAAGAAGTACAATGGAGTCACATCATACGCGCATTTAACTTACGCGAATTCAACTATACGCGCTCAGCAAAAAAAAAAAAAGAGAGAGAGAAAAATAACAATTTAAATAGTGTGGGCGATTCTGCCCGCCATTCCACTCAATGAGCATATGCCCCGGAGTGAGTGTGAGATGGGAGACATGAATCTGCTGTTCCCTCAGTCAGTCTTAGTTCCCATGTACCTCTCATAGTGTGAGCATCTTGCTGCACTGAGTGTGATTTTGACTATACGCGATTTTTGCCTTACGCGCTGACTTTAGAACCTAACCCCTGCATAAGATGCAACTCCACTGTATTCATAAATTTGAGGGATTTACTTTTTTTTATTAAAAAAGGTATTTTAAATGATAAAGCCCTGCTTCCAATATCACCTTGAGTCACAGAGGAAAAAAAAGTAATTCCCTTATTTGTTCCTCCTTCAAAAAATTATGCTACTGAGCTTCCCATTACAATGCCAGACATGCTTTATTTAGCCCCACTATTTTTAGTGGCACAGGTCCATACCTCTAAAAAATGTTTAGCCCTGATCATGATCTTAGCTGAGGCCTGCAGTTGCTACTGTAATTAATGGCAATAAAAAGTATTAGTATGTATCTATGTTAGAGGATTAAGCCCCCAATTTAGAGATAGGGTTCCCTGTTACATAGGGTTTTTAATTTATGTTCTCAGGTTACTGTGCCCTCCATGTAAAAATGACATGTCTCTTCAATCACACTAAAGAGGGCAGTGTTATTTGGCTTACGTGCAGACTTCCTCCAAAGCATCCTCAAAAGCTTTAGGAGATTCAGTGGAATTTAACAATTGGCTTGAGTCTTTGTATATTTACCATGAATTACTAGGCACCAATTTATAATTTTGGGCCCTGATCCTATGAATTTAATCACGTGGCTAGACTTCATAGACCATGCACCAGTTCTTATTTATGGGACCAAGGCCTTAAATGACTTTCTGGAAACAAATATATTTACATGCCCAACCACACAGGCTGACCAGAAGGAGATAGGGCTCTGGGCACATATAAACCCCAGGGCTGAGGCTAGCAGGAAT